AGCGAGCGCACGCCGGCCGCCCGCAGCTTGGCCTCCACGCCGAACACGTTGGCGTCGGAGATGAGCACCAGCTCGAAGAGCTCGCGGTGCTTGGAGAGGAACTGGAAGAGCTCGGCCACGCCGGGGGCCAGCGGGATGTTCTCGTAGACGGCCCTGAAGTCGGCGGGGCGCACGCCCTGCTCGCCCAGGAAGGCCAGGACGCGCTGCATGTGCTCGTTGTAGGAGCCGCGGGGGCTCTGCCGCAGCGCCGCCGGCAGCGCCCGGCCCCGCAGCACCGAATCGTCGCTGTTCTCGTCCACGATGGTCTCGTCGAAGTCGAACACCAGCAGGAACCGCGGCGAGCGCGCTCCCGCCATGGCCGAGCCCTGCTGGGGGGACAGACTCGGTCACTGCGGTGTGGGACAGACAGACCCCGCTGTCACCGGGGTGTGGGACAGACAGACCCCGCTGTCACCGGGGTGTGGGACAGACAGACCCCGCAGTTATTGGGGTTGGGACAGACAGACCCCGCAGTTATTGGGGTTGGGACAGACAGACCCTGCAGTTATTGGGGTGTGGGACAGACAGACCCTGCAGTTATTGGGGTTGGGACAGACAGACCCCGCAGTTATTGGGGTTGGGACAGACAGACCCCGCAGTCTGTGGTGGCACCGGCCATCCCCAGGCCCCTCCGGGCAGGACAAGGACAGACCCCCCCCGGTACGGGGATCCGGTGGCCCCCGCCTGATTAACCCGGCCGGGCAGGGAGGGGTTAATCCCCCCTAAACCCGGATCCTGCCCAGGAAGGGATCGCAAATCCCGAGCTCACTGAGCGGGATCAGGGAATTCCCGGATTGGGAAAAGGGCTCCGGGATCGGATCGGGGCGGGGGGACAGCGGGGACAGCCCAGCCTGGCCCTGTGCCACCTCGGGGACACGGGGGTGACAGCCCAGGGAGGGTCCGGAGGGATTTTAGGGAAAAGTTCTTCCCCCCCCGAGGGTGGAAAAAGCCCTGGAGCAGCTCCCCAGGGAACGGGCACATTCCCGGGCTGGGATTTTGGGGTGATCCCGGGGCACCCCAGGCTGGAATTCTGGAATTCACTGACCTTAGACAGGCACGGCAGCCCCAGGGCCTGGCAGCACCTCCTCATGCCGGCAGCATCCCGGGCCAGCGCTGCGGAGCACAGAAAACAGGGAATTCCGTCAGCCCCGGAGTGTTTTCCCTGGATATTCCCGACTTCGGGAGCTTCTGCTCCGGGGAGGAGGAATTGGAGCGGAGCAGAGCCCGTTTAAAGCCTCTGATCGCTCCTAATTCCCCGTGAGGGCAGCGAGGGAACAGCGAAAAAACTCCGGGAAGAGGGGGAAAAAATCGGGATGAGGGAAAAGAAACGGGAAGAGAAAAAAAAAAAAAAAAAGAAGCCGGAAAGAACCGGGAGCACTAAAAAAAAACGGGAATGGCAAAAAATAAAATGGGAATAGAAAAAAAAAAGAAAAAAAAAAACACAAAAAGGGATCAGTGGAAAACCCCAGGAACAGCGGAAAAATCCCGGGAACAGCGGAAAAATCCCGGGAAGAGCGGCCCTGCTCCAATCCCATCCCCCCTAATTTTCTTCCAGCGTTATTTTGGGGAGTTCCTTTGGATGGAGAGATTCCCTGGAATGACACCAAAGGCGGAATTCTGCCGACCCCTGGTGGTCCAAAGCGAGGGGAAACCTCCCCAGAAAATCTCTGGGATGGCCGGGAATTGAGGAATGTCCCGCTGGGAATTGAGGAATATCCCGCTGGAATTGAGGAATGTCCCGCTGGGAATTGAGGAAAATTCCTCTGGAATTGAGGAATATCCCGCTGGGAATTGAGGAAAATTCCTCTGGAATTGAGGAATATCCCGCCGGGAATTGGAGTCGGGTCCGGGAGGATTCCGGGGATTCGCCACCAGCAGCAGGAAGAGTTGTGCGGCTGAGGGCGATTTCTGGGGGATTTGCCTGGATCGGATCCCGGCTCCCGATTATTTTGGGAACAAACGCGATCCATGACTCTGCTGGAATAAAAAAACCGCGGCTGCGGCGGCACCTGGCGCGGGGAAACGGAGCAGCCGGGCTGGAAATTTTGGAAAAATCCCTTTTTTGTGTGGTCTGGAACCACACACTGGGCGTTTCTTTGCTAAAAAAAAAAACCGTCAGAAATTGAGGGTTTATTTACGGACAAAATCTGGAGCCAAATAACGCCGGAGCCAGGCTGGGAGCGGCTTCCAAAGAGGGAGAGATGGAAAAAACAAACAAACAAAAACCAGGATTAAACGGGAAAGAGGAACTGGAATTTTGGTCACTGCTTGGCCGCTGCCCGCAGTGAGAAAATAATTTGGGATGATTCGGGAGAGTTTGTGGGGCTGGAAGAGCCCTGGGGTGTCCCTGGGGGACACGGGGAGTGAAACCGGCCCGAAAACTCCCCAGGGTTTGGGGTTTGGGAGAAGTTCCAGGGATGGAATTTTGGGGCAGGTGAGGTCGGACAGAGCCGCCCGGAGCCGCCGCTCCCGGAGATTCGTCCTGGACATCAAAACCCGGCCCCGACCGAGCCCCTCCGGGCTCTTCCCGAGCTCCGGGAGCGGCCCCGGGTTTCAGCAGCGCTCCCGCAGCAATTCAGACCTCCCCGGTTCTCCCGGGACCGATCCCGCTGCTCCAAACCCCTGGAAAACTCAGCCCGAGCCCCCCCGGACCGGCGGCACCCCCGGGCAGGGCGGAACCGGGACGGTCCTGAGGGATCCCGGAGGAAAACGCGGCTCCCGGGACAATCCCGGGACAATCCCGGGACCACCGGGACAATCCCAGCCCCATCTTCCCGCTCGCAGCATCCCCGAGATGCGGCTGCAGGAGCTGCTCCCCCCAAAACCGGCCCAAAAATCGCCCCAAAACCGCCCCAAAAAGGCCCCAAAACCGGATCCAAAAATGGCCCCAAAATCGCCCCCAAACCGGACCCAAACCCGCGATGAACGGGAACAAAACGGGCCTTAAAACCGGAGCCAGAGTTATTTCGGGATTGAATCCCGGGGGGTATTTGGGGATTGAAATCCCCTGAGGGCTGCGGGATCCCTGGCATCCCCCAAAATCCTTGGGATACGGCAAAGGAAATCCCAATAGAGCAGAGCTCAGCCAGCCCAGGCTCTGGAATTCCCAGCGGGAAGGGAAATCCCGGCGGGAGCGGATCCCGGTTCCCTTCCCGCAGAAAAAGGGGCTCCCTTGGGCAGCGGAGCAGCCGAATTTCCCAAAAAAAAACCCCAAAAATCCCGAAAAAACCCAAAAACGAGCGCAGCCGGAGAGTCGGGACGGAAAAAAAAAATGGGATCATTGCTCTGGAATAAAGATTTCAACTCCCCGAGTTTGGGATGAGGCTCGGGAACCGCCTGGGAATTGCTGGGAATCGTTTCCCGGCGCGGTTTGTGCCCCGAAATTCGGGATTTGGGGATCTCCGAGGGAGGATGGGCCGGAGGCGCCGCCGCCCTCCCGATCCCCGCGGGTTCCCAGAAATCCGGAGCCGCTCCCGGAGCCTGGGAATTCCGGGATCCCGGAGGAATTCCCGGGGCAGCGGCGCTTTCCGCCGGCGCTCTCCGATCGTGCCCGCTCTGGAGGTTTTTAACCCCAAAGGGGATTTTGGTGCGTTCGATATTCGGATTTTAAGGAGCTCCGGCTCCTGCCCTCCAGCGGAATTCCCGGGAACCGAGCGGGGGGAATCCCAAAGCCACGAGGGGAGAACCGGGAGCGGGACACGGTCCCGGCGCCGCTGGAACTGAACCCGACCCGCCCCGAACCTGAAGAGGAGGAAATGCGGGAATTGAGGGGAAATCCCGGGAAAGGAGAGCTCGGAGCCGGTCCCAGCCAGCCCCGGGGTCCCCTGGACCCTCCCCGGGCTCCGCTTTTCCCGGGATTCCCGGGATTGGGAGCGGGCAGCCCCTCCCAGGTCACCCGGGGCTGCTCCGGCTTTTCCCGGGATTTGTTTTTCCTGCCGGGAATGCGCAGCCCCGGAGCGTCCGGTTCGGGAGATCCAGCCCCGATCCCCGATCCCCGCGCAGCCGCGGCCTCTCCCCCGGTGCCACCGGGCCGGCAGCGGCTCCGGTACCGGCTCAGCCCTCCCCGAGCTCCGCGGCTGCTGCCGGTACCGGCGGGGCTGGATCGCGGCCGCTCCGCGCCCGGGCGGCACCTCCCGGTACCGGCAGCAGCCGCAGCGGTACCGGCAGGGTCCAACCGGCTGGGGAGCGCTCCGGTACCGGCAGGGTCCGACCGTGTCGGCATCCCCCGGTACCGGCACCATCAGCTCCGGTCCCGGCAGGATCCCGCCGACTGGAGACCCCCGGTACCGGCACCATCCGAACCCGACAGGATCCAGCCGGGGGGATCCCTCGGTACCGGCAGCAGCCGTGGCGGATCCGGTATCTCCCGGTACCGCCTCGGTGCCGCCTCTCGCCTCCTTACCGGGTCGGAACCTGCCGGGAGCGCCCGGTCCGCCCCTGTGCCGGAGCGTGCGGGGGCGGCGCGGGAACAGCCGGGCTGGATGGCCGGTTCGGTGCCGGTTCGGTGCCGGTTCGGGGCCGCTCCGTGCCCGGTGCCGCCGCCGGCGCTGCCGCGAGCGCGGCCCCTTTAAAGCGACGCCAGCGGGGCCGCCGCAGTGCGCGACGTCATCGGCAGAGCAGCCAATGGCAGCGCAGCTTCCCCGCCGCGGAGGGGCGGGGCCCTGCCAGGCTCCGCCCCCTTTCCCGGGGAGCCCGCGCGGGTCCCGCCCCCGCCGAAGTCCCCAAATGGGGACAAAACAACCCAAACTCATCGTCATCCTCATCCTCATCTTCATCCTCATCCTCATCTTCATCCTCATCCTCATCCTCGTCCTCATCTTCATCCTCGTCCTCATCCTCATCCTCATCTTCATCCTCATCCCAACCCCGATCCTGATCCCTGATCCTGATCCTCATCCTCATCCTCATCCTCATCTTCATCCTCATCCTCATCCTCATCCTCATCCCGATCCTGATCCCAATCCCGGTCCTGATCCCGGCTCCTCCCCCGCTCCGCCGCCGCCCCCCGGCTCCGGTTCAGCCCCCGGAGCCCCCCCCGGTCCGGTTCAGCCCCCGGAGCGCCCCCGGCTCCGGTTCAGCCCCCGGAGCCCCCCCGGCTCCGGTTCAGCCCCCGGAGCGCCCCCGGCGCCGCGGTTGAGCGAGAAAAGCCCGAATTGTGCCCAGAATAGCGGCGGGAGCGGGCGGGGCCGGGCGGGACCGGCGCTATCCCGGGAATTGCGGGGTGGCCGTGCCAGGACCCCCCGCCCCGCCCGGGCCCCGCCGCTATCGCGGCCCCGCAGGAGCCGCCGAGATAAAAACCCCGAGCAGCGCCCGCCGGGCGCCGCCTCGGCAGCGAAAAACCCAAATCCCGGCGGAACTGGGGCTTTTTGCTGGTTTTTAATTAAAGGTGTCCGGGAATGGAATCCTCGGCCGGGATTCCAAAGGTCGGGAAGAGCCGCGGCGGTGCCGGCAGTGCCACGTTGTCCCCGTCCCGCGGGCACCGCCACAAAGGTCGGGATTTTCCTCTTTTCCATGAAATTCCGTCGCGGAGCAGAACCCGGAGCGCTCCCGGCACCGTCCCCGGTGCCGACCCTGCCCCACCGGCCTCTCCTGGGGAATACCGGGAATTCTTGTAGGGAATTCTTGTACGGGATTCCTGTAGGGAATTCTTTTAGATGATTATTTTAGGGGATCTCCTCAGCCCGGGACACTCCGGCTCTGGAATTCGCTCCCGCTTTTTCCCGGACGTTTCTCCCCCTCTGGAGCCGCTCCAGCCCCGCTCCGAGCGCGGCCGAGCGGGAGATTCCAAAAGGGCGAATTCCCCACGGGCTCCTGCCCCTTCCCACCGGGATCCAGCGGGATCCGTCCCGAACCCATCCCGGCCCCATCCCGATCCCATCCCGGGCTCATCCCAATCCCATCCCGATCCCATCCCGGGCTCATCCCAATCCCATCCCGATCCCATCCCGGGCTCATCCCGGACCCATCCCGATCCCATCCCGATCCTTTCCCGGCCCCATCCCGAACCCATCCCGATCCTTTCCCGATCCCAACCCGGGCTCATCCCGATCCCATCCCGGGCTCATCCCGGATCCATCCCAATCCCACCCCGGGCTCATCCCGAACCCATCCCGATCCCTTCCCGATCCCATCCCGATCCTTTCCCGATCCCATCCCGATCCCATCCCGGGTTCATCCCGATCCCATCCCGATCCCATCCCGATCCTTTCCCGGCCCCATCCCGAACCCATCCCGATCCTTTCCCGATCCCAACCCGGGCTCATCCCGATCCCATCCCGATCCCATCCCGATTCCATCCCGATCCCATCCCGGCCCCATCCCGATCCCATCCCGATCCTTTCCCGATCCCATCCCGGGAATTCGGCAGGGACGCTCCCGGTGATTTTCCACTGCGGAGAGCCCCGGGACGCTCCTGGCAGCTCCGGGATAACCACGGGAGCCTTTCCCAACCCCTGGATCCGCCCGGATTTTTGTCAAATTCTTGACTTTCCTGCATTTTAAACCCCACCTTCCCACCTTTTTTTTTTTTTTTTTCCTGGAATAAATCCCTTGGGAAAGATCCCACCCCGCCCTCCCAGCACCTCACATCACGGCCAGACCGGGAAAGAGGGGTTGGAATTTTTAATCTTCTTCCACAGAAAGGAAGTTCATAAATTCTCAGAATGATCCGATACAGAGCGGAGCTGAAGAACAGGAAAAAAAAAAAACCGTCCCGGATTCTGGAATTCTCGGGAGAGCAGCCTGGAATTTATTGAGAAGGGGGAAAAGAACCTGGAATAGAAATTATTGCTCGTCCATTTGGGGCTTTCCCAGCGTTTAAAAATCAGATTATCCCAGGCCTGAGCAGGGAATTGCAGGGGTGGAAGGCAGAGAATTCCAGGGAATTGCAGCAGTTGGGAATTCAGGTTTGGAATTTTTTCCTGCCAGGAGGGAACGGGGGGGGGGGGGGG